TTGGAGTTAAGCAGTAACTTGGGGTGGTGAATTTTATTCCTGAGTTCCTAAAACATGATTTAGTATCTAGAGTGCAACCACTGTAGTTGCAACGTAACAGCCTTCACTCCTGAATGTTAGAGCAATCAGGCACAGACTTTTGGGGTTGCAACACTTCCTGTTGGAAGTAGGGCTTCCCATGTGAACCACGCTCCCAGCGTGTAGCTCTAGGACATGAACTGGGTGGAAGGATCATAATAGGTGGTTGATCTGGAATCCTAATCTATGGCACATAAATATGTGGCCCATAAAAGGCTATGAACCTGTGCTGTGGATCTTAATTGTGTTTGAGTAGGATGTCTTCCACAAACATCTTGCTGCCTGGGGCATGTCTTTGGGCCCCAGTTTCATCTCTAAAACAAGATAAACATTGCTCCATGGTTGAGTGGTGGCTGCAGTGGAGTTGGCAGTGCACACAGGCTGGGAAACATTATGTGTTTTGAGGTGAAAGCTGGCTTTAATATTTCACTAGCTTTAAAAATTCATCCTAAATGACAGCCTTAGTCTGCCTTTCAGTGAGTCATTCACAGACTTCTGTACCCTAAACTGCAGTCAGCTCTGCTAGAAAGACCTCTTGCATGTATTATAATAATGCATATTTAAAAGAAAGATGCCTCTTCTGTGAATTGTAAGAATAAAATTCTCAGCAGTCAGACACTGGCCTTCATATGAATTCAGTGGTTTCAACCTTGTGCCTCTTCCAAGTGTGTGGGACTAAAAAAGCCTTTTACAGAGAGCAGAGCCAGCATGGACAATGGTAGTGTCTAGCAGCACACAGACACAGGACTGAATGTAAGAATAAGCTTACTGCAGAAAGTCCCTCTTGTTAAAACTACTTCTGGTGCCTTTATGCATCTGCTTCTACGTATTCTTCAGAGGTCTGTCAGAGGCAATTACAACTGACTGCCCTATGTGTATCAAATAAATATGTACTGCGTGGCAAGAGCTTTGGAGGGGTGGAAGAAGCAGGTGCCTTCAAATGGACAGCACCAAATCCTTATCTTAGTTGTTTTTAATGGAGTAGATCATATCTCTGAAGGGAAGTAATCAGCTGTTGGCATGAAAAGGTTCGTGTGACTGGTCTGGAAGTTACCTAATTGCACCTGGTGCTGCTTTGCAGGACAATTTATTGTTGGATCAAAACAACCTCTTGAGAGAGTTCCAAGGCAGAAGGACTTAAAAATTAACAGATCTCTGAAGCCCATAGACCATGTGTCAAATGTACCACACTGCTGCTTGAGTGGGATTTTTCTAACACTCTTCAGAGGTGGAGTGTTACTTAAGTATTTGTTTAGAAGAATGTGTAGTCTACTCATGCTTATAGAAATAGCCATGCCCTTTTACAGTCATGTTATCAGTCCAGTTTACTTTAGTTAAGCTCATAAAATGCCTACAGAGAAATTAATGGATGTGGAGAGAATTAGAAACCAAAGTTTAGCATGATCCTGCAGTTTTATGTATTTAAAAGTGTTTTGTAGCATCTTATAATCAGACAGGCTTCAATGGGAATAGCTTGTTCTCCTATTGGTGTGTATCATCCATTGAAGTATGGATGGGAAAGGATGCATGCAAACATGAGCAAAACTGGCATAAAATATACTCCTTTAACTATGTTCCAGTAGTTTCCCATGGTGCATATTGTGGTTAACATTTACTTAATTCTTTTGCTTTTGTAAAAGCTTTTCGGGAAGAGGACTGGGAATACAATTATAAGCAAGAATATGATTTTTTTTTAGAATTCTAGTCTTTTTGTCATTTAGTCATTCTTCAGTGTGGCCAATGAATTTTGCAATCACCATCTTGCCATGTGCATTATATGCCTATCAAGTGAAACTGGTTATTCCTTGGTAACTTGTGAAATGCCTGGGAGTTATCTGAGCCTAGGTGGACTCTGTGAATGGGGAGATATCTTGGCTGTTGCAGCTTAGGGATGCTGATAGATGCCAACCAAAGCATCAACATATGTGGGGACAAAATTGCACTCCTACCTTAAGAATGTGTGTTCTTGGGTTAGTGCTACGGCAATTGGAGTAATGCAGCAAAGCTCAAGTTGAACTTGGTCTGGGCACTGTGGCTACAACTCCCTTTGTGCCTCTATGAAACTCAAACTCCCTTTAAATCCTCGTCAGAGACAAGGGCTTGGGAGTCTCAGTCTAGACATCCGTGCCACATCAGCGTTAGAGTTGTTTTGGTGCCTGAGAGACAGGGGCACCTGTAAGGGTTAACTCGATCTGTAGAGCACTGCCTAATTTTTACAGATGGTGTGAGTGCAACAGTGAACTTCAGACTGGCTTGGCAGTGCACAGAGATAACTTTATATAATTCCCTGCAGATGTTGCTGCAGAATGGTTTTAATAATGAATTGTGAAGTCAAGCTAAGCTCCAGCATAGAGGGAGAACTCAAAATAGATGCAGTGTTTTGTTCTGTGTTTCAAAAGTAAGTTTTTTGTGATGCTCTGGGAAAGATGGCAGGGGATGGGACAAGGGATTGTTTGCAGAAAGCCAGGACTATAATGGTGCAAACTAAGACCAATCTGTCTAACTTGTCTGCAAACCATGAATACCTATAAACCTGAGGTGAGAGTGGGAAAGGGTGGTGGTACTAAATGGTAGCTGCCCTAATGTTTCCAATGAGGAGATGGTGCAGGTGCAGAGCAAGTACTTCATGATCAGCTGTATTAAAGCCTTTCTTCTGTCTTTCTGAGAAGCAAGCTTGAAATGGGGGAAGAGAATTTCAGAGTGGGGAGCTGGTTTTCCCTGAGCTTGGACAAAGGCTGTGATTTCTCAGTAGCTGCAGAGGTTTCTCATGAGTTCTGTGGTGATTAGGAGCTTTAGCCCAAGTCACGTTTAGGTGGATGGAGGCTCAGCTACCCTATGGCCCCAAGCAGAAGATCTAAACTTGGCTCTGAGGCTAGTGAACCAAACCAGAGGGAGCTGTATGATGAAATAGGCTAGCACGGGGTTGGTGTAAAGGAAGTGCGATCCAGCCCTCCAGAGATGGTTTTACCATGGTTTGAATTTGACCCAAATGTACATTTTTAAGTGTAGGCAAGGCCTTTTTGTGCTTGTGTTTAATTTCTTTCTGAGGAAGAGTTTACGTAAACTATTCCAGTCTAATTAATATCAGCTGGAAGCCAGCTTCTCACATTTTGTGCCTGATTATAAGTGTATGTTAAACTGTGTTTGCTACCCATGTCAATACGTTACTGAGAAATAAGGAGCAACCATGAAGGCGTGTTTTTGAAACGGTCTGGCAGATCCTGCATGTTCACTGCTGTGGGCTTCGTGGCAGGAGAATCCACCTCCTGCTGAGGGAGAATAACTAAATTTAAACTTTCCAACCATGAGCCTTCTGAAGCAAAGTTTCCAAACCTCTGCTGGGCCAGAAGATGGAAATCTATGTCTGAATTTGGAGAGTAAATAAATAGAGCTGCCTAGGAGCTGCCCAGGGGCATGTGAGGGGTTGTTGCTTGGGGTACATTGTCTTGCAGCCACATACCCCAGGGAGAAAATCAAGGGTTTGTAGCTACTGTTCTCTGGTAAAATCTTCCATGACAGGATTTGGAATGAACTTGGGTGACTTTTAGCACAAACACTTGAGCATTGTTTCAGCAGGGTGGTTTTTCTCCTACAGACAGTTGCATGTGGCATGGCAGCAGAGCCTTCCTTTCCTCCTCACTGGGCTGGGCTGTGGCATCCCAGCCGTGGGAGGGATGCGTGGCCACCTCACAGCTCACTAGTGTTGGTGCCCATCTCTTTACAGCCCAGACTGGTGCCTTTGCTCATCACAGGCTTCTGTGAAATTTGCTGTATTTATAACAGCCATCCAAGTCTGTAAACTGTTCTGAGGTGTGTGTACAGAAACAGCTGTTTTCCCAACTCCTTTTGGGGAAGCTAAGCTGGAAGGGTGGTGATGGACAACAGCTTGCATGGTCCTAACAAAGCAGCTTATGTTTTCTGGGGAAACTGGGGTAGCACAGAAAACAACAGAAGGGGTTTGCTTACCTGTTAGACTTTTTGTTTTCCTGTTGTCTTAACCCAGACGTTATCTGAATGGAGGAGACTCTAGTTGTGCTCATATCTGAGAGCAATAAGTTCTTGGGTGAGTCTGTGTCAAAACCATTGGAGGATTCAATAAATCAGTGTAACCAAGCAAGAAAAGAGGCAACGATAGTTACAGTTGGAATGCATTTAATCTGAAACTGGCATGCCTATAATTTTATTAATCCATCCATAGATATCACCTAAAGGTTATATCCATACATATTGGTGAATACTTAACATTTTTGTAGATACTGATTGAAACTTGGATGTTCAGGTGGAAAGACAAATAACTGGTGCTTATGGCCTGAAGTCAGATTTCAGTGGGCTTTTCTCTCTTTATTTCTGTTTTGTGCAGTGCTTTCCAGCTTCCCAGGATATTGAATTCAGGTCATGTTTGTTAAACACCAGCTGTGGTTACAAGTGCTCTAGAAGCACTTTTGTATCCTGTTCTGAAATCTGTGCTTTTCTATGAATGTCTTTGCTGTTTCTCTCATTTGCCTTTTGTGGTACCTCATGCGAGGATTTGGGCAGCAGTTGTGCTGTTTCACATATGTGCATATGTATATATTTACACCTACAAAGTCTTTTGATACTGTGGGTGTACATGTAGGAACACTAGCTTGGAGAAACTGAGTTAGAGAACTCGAGCCAAAGTTGTCATGTATGGACTTGGAATTTCTTAAAATAAGTTGATAATTGCTTCATTGTACCCTTTTTCTAGCAAGCCTGCATGCTACCACTGGGAGAGGATCTGATAGAAATGGTATAATAGCACTAAACCCTTTCTTGTTCTAGGAAGCTGCAGAATGCCTCAAACATGCACCAGAGCTGCTGACTCTGCCATCTTCTCTTCAGAATTTTACTATTCTTGTTCCTCTAAATGCTGACTGAGAAACTTTTTTTGCTTCTTTTTGTAGGTTGGTGGTTTGTGAGTACAGCAGAGGAGCAGGGATGGGTCCCTGCTACATACCTGGAATCGCAAAATGGAACCAGAGATGACTCTGACATCAACACATCTAAATTTGGGGAAGGTATGGAAAGCTTTCTCTGACCAAGAGAAAATTAGTATTCACTTGCTTTATGCTTTTTTTCCCCCAAGTGAGGGCTTCTAATGGAAAGAAGATGCATGATAGAGCCACAGGCTGTTGAAAGGAGTGAGATTTAACTTTAATGGTTGCTTGTCATTAATTTCTTTGAAATTAATATTTGAAACTAGTTTCACTGTTGTTTGCTATGGTCTGTGGTTGTGTGGAAAGGTAATTTTATTTGGTATGGTCTTGTTGTGTTAAAAGTGAGATGCCATTTGTCACATATACGTATTTAGCCACACTGGGGTTTTTTATTTGTTTTTTTACTAAAGATGCTTAATTCAGGTTCTAGAAATGGAATAGTTCAACATTGCATGTTCCTCAATTCCATTATGAAAGACTAACCACATCTTAATGGGCTTCTCGTGTAGCAACTGAGTACAAAGGACACTTTTATTATTTGCTCCATTCTGTTGCTAAATCTAGGTGCTCTTGACGTGACACTTGTGTAAAATGCATATGGAAACTCAGCTGACCTTCCCTTAGCACGGGCAGGAGGCTTAGAGATGTGTTGGGGTGACCATCTGCCCATTAAAATAGCACACAGGCAAAACAGGACTTTTTGCTGGGCTCCAAGGGTGACATCTGCAGCTTATTGAAATCCTTGTCTCTGTAACTCATTTTCCCCTGCTCAAGTCTACCCATACATATCCTGGTTTAGAGACAGAGTGGCTGTAGACTGGTAGGCCAGGAACCAGTTTGGTATGATGCAACATCTTAGTGGATGCAAAAGCAGTGAGTAAAGTTTCCCTGTTATTAAAGAACAAAACTTTACTGCTCTGGTCTGCAAGCATTGATGCTTGTTTGTTGGTCTGTACCTTCCTCCCTTTTCCTGACTCTTAAATATGGTGCGTGCTTGACAGCCTTATTGCTTAAACTACTTTCATTTCTAGCTCTCCTCCTCTTTCACGTTGCCCTCTGGAGTGTGTTCCACACAGGGATGCTGCCACACAGCACTCTGTCCTGGGGAATGGAAAATCCATCAAATATGCCATATCTCCTTCCTCTCAGTCCCTTTTAATCCATTACACTGCTCTCTTCAGCTGTGGTCAGCAGTCCTGCTCCCTGCCTTACTCTAAGTCCAGATATGCTGATAAACCTGAGACTGCCCTTCCCTTTCTGCTCAGTTCCATCTCAGTGACAGATCTAATTGCATAACTTCTGCAGTTGCTTTGATGTGCCCCAGCTTTTGCTTGCTTTTTAGTAACTGTGGTTTCTGTTATTAACCATCTAAGCTGAGGCTTCCTACATTCTTTATTTCTTCCCCTCTAGTTTGTCTTTACTTGGGCTATTCTTCTCCATATAATTATTTCATAAGAAAGGAAATAATTACTTGGATTCACTGTCTTTAAAAAGGTGTTTCAAAGTGACTGTGCTTAGACAGAAAACTTGCCAGCTCTCTCCAAATGGGCAGGAGAAATGGGGTCTGATGTGACTGAGGAGGAAGGCACTTTTAGTGGATTAAGTGCTTTAGCCCCGGAATTGTAGAGCTTATACAAGTTTCAGAGTGACTCCAACAGACAGTGACTTCCTGCAACTGTGCATGCTCTGCTCCCACAGCTTTGAAAGAGCAGAAACACTCATATGGGGAGCTTTGTGTATCAGCCCCTTGTCCCACCCCATTTGAATAGGCCTGGAACAAGTCCACTAGCCAGCCAAACCCAGAAGTCTGCTCTGCTGTGGCAGGCCCAGTAAAGATAGGGGGGTGATGAACACTTCTTACTAATAATTCTGCCTCTCTATAGCAGTAATATTTGCCATGTGTCTCTTTAAATAGTCTGTTCCCTGAGAAAGACGAAAGTGTTTCCTCCCTGCACCTAACTTGCACAACATTTTTGTCTGGATGAAGGCAGGCAGCTGATTGTTATCTGGCCTGTGTTTAGACCAACACATCTTGCAAGGCTTGGAAAACAATAAGAAAGCAATCTAAAGAAACATTTAATGGCTACAGGAGCTGATAAAGTATAAGTGTTAAAATAATGTCTGGAAAGGTGTAGACACTTGTTAATAAGCGGCCTTTCTGATGACTGTGGCTTGACCAACCAAGTCCAAGTCTGGGCAAAATGGCAAAATTCAGAATTTTTAAGGAGGAAAAAACCCTGGCTCGTACAACAGCATCATTGTGGTATAAAAGTGCTATCACTGGGGGTGGCCATAGGTTGCAAGGACACAGTGTGGTGGATCAGTGTGACCCACTGTTTTCAAGGAGTGTTCCTGGATGGCTAAATCCTCCAAACTCCCAGTCTGAGAAGGAGCTGTACTGACACCTTAAGCCAGTTTCTATGCATTTTGCACCCCTCCATCCTGCAAGCCTTTACGTTCAGAATTTCATTTCCTCCCTTCTTGTATAGAAACCTCCTAATACAAGCAGCCTTATTGCAGTTTAACTTCTCTCTCTGCTATAATCTGTGTGTCTAGCGAGGTGTCCTGTGTTGTCTCTTGTGTAGCATGTGTAACTGGCAGTCTAATGTCCTTTTTATCTGGGGAAAGTCACCAGGTTAAATCTGCTCACCTTTTGTCCCTCCACAGGCTTCCAAGAGGATCACTGATTTCCGTGAGCCAAAACCACAGCTATTTATTATCTTGAGATTCGGCTGAAAATTTGTGGGGGTTTTTTGGCCAGTGTGAGATCAAAGGGGAAGTACAGAGTACCACAGACTAGATAATGTACCTGTTCAACACCACTCACCACACCTCCATTTAGAGTGGTGTGGGAAGGTTTGGGTCTTACAGCAAAGGAGAAATTGAGGAGAGTGAGCTGGATGTAAAAGTCTGGCCTAAGATCCTACAAAGGACAAAAAGTGAAAAGCCACTCTTTGGTGAAGTTATTTTTTTTCTTGTCCAGCTAATGATTTCCCAATCAAATAGTTTTGCTGTGCCTGTTGTCTGCTGAACACAGTTCTAGAAGACAACAGTATCCACTCCATTGTAAGGGTATAATCTCTAAATAAGTGCACATATGCAGAATTGAATTATTATTAATGATGTGATACCAAAGTTTATGAACAGCTTCCCAGCAGCACTGGTAAAATGATAGTGTTGTCACTTCAGCTATTGGTACCTTGCAGTATGTCGTATTGCTTTGCAGCAGCACCAAGCACCCTTGCAGTAGTTGCCAAATTGGGATGGAAGGCCTTGAATGGAAAAAATATAAGTGTCTGTCTGTGTTTCTGTACCAGTCTAATGGTTCCAGTGTCTTTCACACCTGTACAGGCAGAAGAAAAATCTGAGTAGAGATCTAAGTATGTGGTCCAGAAAACAAGTGATGTCCTCTGTGCACAGCTGCTCTCACAGTGCCATTTCCATAAGTGTCTTGCCTTTGTTTATACTTTAAGCATAAGTTATTGTTTGAGTATGTAACTAACACTCAGTCCTGGCTTGTTAGCTTCTTGAGCCTGCTCAATAATTGCAAGGTTAGTTTTTTTACCTTATATCATAATCTATATATTAGAAGTTTTGATTTTGAGAACCAGCTGTGGCAATGAATGCAAGTCATGTCTTGCAAGCACATCAGGTACTTTTCACTTGGGTTCAGTTCCTGAGTGCTGCTGTTATGAGGGAACTTACATAAGGGTTTGTGGGTTTGTTTATAATGTGATAATTTTTCTTAGAGAGGTTTAGAACCCTGTTGGGTTTGATGTTATATGCAATAGACTGAATTCCCCAAAGATCACACAGCTGAATTAGGAGATGCAACAGCAGTGATGATGTGTCCTGCCACTGCACTCTCCATGGACAAGTTGTCATTAGTTGTGCAGCTTATTTTTGGAGTGTGTATATGTTTTTGAGTTTTTTATTATAATTACTATTTTTTAAGAAAAGCCAGTAGCAAGAGTGGCAATCTGTGACAGTTCTGGATGGCTTGCATCACTCAAGCTCAAGAAGTTAACTTGTTCCACTGTACTGTATAAACCAAAACAAAACATCCTGCATCCCACTTTACCCATTCCCACTAACAAGACCAATGCTTGTAAATACCATGTTTTGTTTTTATTCCTCACCCTCCCATCATTTTTTTTCTTTTTTTTTTCCTTTGTTTTGTTTCCATCCACGTTCCAAACTAGTTTCTAAGCGACGCAAGGCTCACCTGAGGCGCCTGGACCGGCGATGGACGCTGGGCGGGATAGTCAACAGGCAGCAGAGTCGAGGTGAATTCATAGCTTCCTCTGGTACCAGCCACTCAGGGGGCACCAAAACCCACACTGCAGCTTCAGCTGTTGTGTGTTGGGACCTGCATCCTTGACACTTTGGCAGTGAGGGGCCAGAGCTCCAGAGTTCAGATATGGATTTCGTACATGACAGCTTGAGGGTGTCTTGGGGCTGGGATTAGGCACCCCAGGAGCTGGAGGCTGGTAACCAAGGGTAGCTCTGCAGTCTGACTCTTGGTGCTATTGGGAAAGCTCACATCTGCTGTGTTTTAACATGGGCATGTTTGTGCTCAGTCTTTCCTGCCTCAGTAAGGACAAGTGATACTTTCAGGGCTATTAAAATAAGTTGAATGCCAAAAAGCCATGGTCAAAGATGAGCACACTGGAAGAGTGTGTGATGTGGAAAGATGAAAATTATTCCAGTTGCAATCCCCTCGCTTCCTTGCAAGCAGTACTTGATACTAAAGAGAGACTTGAGAACTTTTGGGAGTTCTTGACATCATACCTAGGTGTTTAAAATGCCACCAGTAGCAGCATTTTAGTTGGTTTGGTTTGTGTTCTTTTAGCTTTTGGTGGTCTGACAGTGAGTATGGTAGGGAAGGGGGAACACTTCGTGTTTGGGTGAAGCTGTGTTTGGGTGAATTTTGAGGAGTCTCCTAAACTGATTATTTTTTAAGAGCAGGTGAATGAATCATCTTTCCTAGAGCAGAGGTATGCCTGTCTATCTCCTGTTCCACCTGCAAAATCATCCAGATGTGTTTGTTGCACTAAAAAAGGAAAGGAGGGACAAAGCACCATTTGTACCCCTGTAACTTTCAGACAACCTTACTGAGGGAATGGATCCAAGCGCAAGAGACGATTGTCAGTTGATGGAAAGGTGCCTTTCCCTATTAAGGAGATAATGTATTTTTTAAGTGGCAAATTTACATTCCAGATTTGATGATGGTACTTTGTGCAGACACCTGTGTCTCAAGCACTCCCAGCTTTAAAGGTGACCCTTTAACTTTATTTCAAATTATAATTGAGGAAACAAAAGCAAACAAGAGCCATGCTCTTCCTTCCAGAGCTTGACTCTGCAGCAGCTGGAACTACCTTCAGAAGACAATGTCTTGCTTCTCAGCCACCAGGTGCACTCTGAAGGCACCAAAATCCTCTCGTAAGCACACATAGCATCTTGGGGAAAAAAAAAAAGTTGCTTATTTCTGTGCCCCAGCAGTTTGGGAGCTGCTTATTTTGCTTTGTCAAACTCTGCCAGATGCTTCCTGGCAATTTAATTGGGAGGATTTATAGGAATCAGTTTTCTAAACAATTTATTTACTGGTGAAAACAAATGCATTCTTTCATACTCATACAATATTGCAAACAAAGTTCCATAAAATATTAAGACTGTGTAGCCAGTCCCTTAGCAGTCAGCTGGTAAGACTTGAGGATCTAAGTTGCATTCTCAAGTTTTTCCTCTTGTGTTCTGATGCCCACCACCTGTATGCATCTTCTCCAGACCTGCCCTCTGACCAGTGTCAGTGTCCTCCCTGGCAGTCTTCCCCAGTACAGGCTCCCCTAATCTCTTCCATCCTTGCCTTTTTCTTGCTTTGTTACAGTTTCTTTCCTATTAGGCCCAAGCAGGGCTTTTGAGGGTATTGGAGAATATGTGCTTTATCTCAAACTGAATCTTGGCACTTGGACTTGGCACAAACTTCAGCAATCTATGATTCTATCCAAGGCTTGGGGCACCTTCTGTGATTGAGCCGCTTCTATGAGGTCTCTCCAATGTATTTCAGCCACAGCTAGCCAGGCTGGCTAAAAATAAGCTGTTTAATGTCATCAGAAATGATAGGTTAGGGAACGCTTACAAGAGCAGGCTTATTGGAAGTAAAGAAAGTGACTTGAATAAATGGGCACAAGTTGGAGACAGTGGCTTCATGATCTGGCAGAGCTGCAGCCTGTACAGACATGTACGCCTTCCAAACTGCAGTTGTTGAAAGTATGAGTCTCTCTGGGTGTCCAGCCTGCTGTTTTCTAACAGAGCACAGTTTATATGAGGTCAGGAGAGATTTTCTCCCATCTTCCCATCCCAGCCCAGAAGACTTCTAACAAGGCCAAATTTGGGTGGGTTTGCACTGAAATGACAGAATGCATGAAGTGTACATATGCACCCCCCTGCCAACCTTCAAGTCCTTGCTCCAAAGCACAGAAGAACTCAAGTTTATCAAACAGGAGGTTGCCAGAATTGTTGAACACAAGCAGAACAGCTTCCCCTTCCCCATTTGGCCTCTTCCTTGGAAACAAACTCAATTAAACATTTTGGCTGAAATTCTTCCCACCCAGCAATATTCTGCTTGAAATAGTCCTTGCTGCTGGGAGGGTTAGCTCCAGGAGTTCACTGGAGTTTAAAAGCAAGCTGTAAAAGATGCCTCCCTTTGTATTTATGCTTGGGTACCACTAATAAGCATTTTTATCAGTTTGGCCTGTGAATCACTTTAAGGCCAGAATCAAAGGAATTAAGCATTGTTCCTGAGGAGCAGAATTTTCTAAATTACTTGAATATTAAAAACACTGAGAAAGCCTGAGTGCAGAAGGGAAGAGTGTTTGCTTCCCTGCCTGATGAGGGAGAATTATTAGGGGTAGCATATGGCTTATTTATTTCTACCCTTTCCAAAGCCATTTGAAGAGGCTAGGCATCTCTGACCTCCAGATATTTGGAAGCAATGTTACTGGGTCTGTGAATAAGAAACATGAAAGACAAATTGTTGAATATCATGATAATGCTTCTTTTCAAAACCTGAAAAGAAAATCTGCAAAGAGAACAGCTGTAGTCTGTTTCTACAAAGAGAAACAGATGACTTTTGTTGCTGAACTTTTCTCTTTAAAATGTTCTGTGGTATGCCCAGATCTAAGAGATTACATTAGTTTGTGTTTCTTATGTAGCTGCAAAGCTTGTGGATTTTTTTAATGTTAAATGTGGTACATTTTCTAAACTTTTTTTCTATACATTCTGAAACTCCAGTAATACAAATATGGGTTGTGAGAAGTCTGAAAGTTTGTAGTTTTCCTCAGACTTGACACTCGTTAGACCTGCAAGCTGCAGAGTTCTTGTTTTGTACAGGGTTAAACAGTAATTCTACACATGCTTTTATTTGGAACTTCCCCTAGAAGGGAATTTAGGATTATTTACAGGCTAATTTAATGAAAAGTCATTTGTGCTTTTACAGTTTGATTGGTAAAATTGGGACTTTACATGCCTGTCTTCTATGCCAGATATCTGACCTAAGTTATTGCTGCTTTGGTTTTGTGCGCAGTGCTTTCAACTGGAGCTGTTACAATGCAGGAAAGCACTTTAAAGTTATTCATACCAACAATATAGTGACATATGGGCTGAATTTCTGCCAAATGAGCCAATTATTTAGGAGTAGCTCCTAGCACAAGGAATAAGCTGTTCATTGAAAGAGTTAAAGTTAGAACTTCCCACTGCTTGCCTACCTTAGGGAGAGAGGGAGCTTGATGGGGAAAGGTAGGCAGTGTGTAGAGGAAAGGCAGCTGTGTAACCCAGTGGTCTTGATACTTGAACCTCATCCTGAGTTGGTCTTAATACTGGAACCCCATGTCCTAGCCCAGGTGGGTGATTCTGCAGCCAGTTTTATAGCTGTGGAAAGAGCACTTCATCAGTACTGGCAATCCAGCCTGGCTGATGTGCTTGTGCACTCTTACCCTTTCCTGCATCTCACCAGAGCTGCTCTGCCCTCTTTGACAGCCCCTTCCATGGGACTTCTCCCTTTGTTTTTTTCCCTGGTTGTGCTTGATTGTGATGAAATGTTTGTCAGTCACAGCAGAAGGCTGTGAGTGACACTGCTGTGCTAAATCAAACCAGCACAGAGCAGCTTCAGACTTAGTTTGTTCTCTCCTTGGGTTGGATTTCTTTTTCTTTCTTTATATATATATATATTTTTTTTTTTTACTCTGTTCTCCAAGGAAAGTAGTAAATGGTTATTGCTCCTTGCTTGGTTGAAGTAAGAGCATGTGTAATACAAAGTTGTTCAGAAGAAATGTCATTATTGTTCTTTTCTATCTCTTGGCATAAGGTTTTCCGTAATTTGAAACAAAAATGGCAGGGAGGGGAAGAGGGACAAAGGCTGAAGAGCTTCTGTCTGTAGATGAACACATTTGATAACTGTGGACAGTCATTCTCTCTGCATATTTAGGCAAGTAAAACAAAGTCCATGTTGAATGAATGCATTGCTTTCTGGAACAGCGAGACTTTTTCCAGAAGCAGGTCTGACAAAGGGGGGGTAGAGCGGAGGAGTGGGGGAGGGCAAACACAGACTGCTGACAGAGGGGAAAGTATTTTGAAAGAAAATTCTTCTGTGGTTTGGAAGATGTAGGTTTGGGGCTGTTGCATTTTGCTGAGAAATCATTAATTGGCTAATTTCTAGCCCAGATCCCCCCTATCCCTGCCCCTACCAGCATATCAAACCAGGACGGGGTCACAGAAAGTTGGGGGCATGTGCAAGCACCAGCTGAGCAAAGGACATGACTCCCTTATTTGGTTGGTTCCTGAAGTGCTGCTGATAACTTCCATGCTTATTAATGGACGCAGAAAAGACAAAGCTTACAAAATAGAGGTGAAGGAGAGGAATGCGAAATGGGGCACTCAGCTTGGAAGCAGAAATGTCTGAGCACTGGCCATTTGCCTGGGAAAGATGAGACTGATTGTGCAGGGCTGGAAACGTGCATTGGTATTTTAGCTGCTTAAAGGCACGGCTCCTGTCCCAAATAGTTTACAGCCTAAACAAAGAGAAGGAGATCCATGCATCAAAAGAATGTGGACAAGTGGCAATTTGGCATGAATCTTACTGCAACCAAAGGGGTTTCCAGAGTGTAAAATGATCCTTATTCAGTATTTTTAAAAGCTTTTAGAGGAGGACTAAAACTAAGCTAGTTTGGTAAGGCAGGAAATTGGAGTAGGTAAGGCTTATTTTAGGAAGGATTTGAGAGCTTCAGGTCAT